TAAGGGCAGTTTAACAGAACAGCAAACAGAGGGAACAGGAACAACAACGATACAAATAAGGAGAAAACACGACAAAACAGACCGCAGAACAGACCCGCTCTCCCAGACAGGACCGGCACCACGTGCTCCCGAGCCGCGAGCGAGCCCCTGCCGCGCTGCCACCCCCCCACTGGGACCCAGCGTGACGGCACATGGTATGGAATACCGGGCTCTGTTTGGCCAGGTCAGCCCCCACCCCCCCGTCTGTGCCCCTTCCTGGAGTCCGTCTATGCCCCTTCCTGGAGTCCGGTGAAAATTAACCCTGTCCTGGCCGAACCCAGGACACAGAGTTACTTCTCCAGAGCTCTAACCGCTGTTTCAGCCTTCTTACCTCCATATACCTCTGACGTAGAGGCCAGTAGCAGCCGTGCTCCAACACGTTTGGCTAACCCTAAATTTTGGGCAACAGAGAATGAAGAACATAATTAGATCAAGTTCAAGAATCTTTCAGTGATGTTAACTGCTTTAGTGTGATCCCATTTTACATGTTTTTAAACAGAATATGGCATCTCTCACTAGATAAATCTAGCTGTAAATCACATCCAGAGCTCCCACTCCCACGCTAGAAGACTTGAGAAACAGCAGAGCAGCACTCATGTGTGATGTGTTTGCTTCTGGGACTAAAAGTTACACTGAACTAGGATCCAACAACTTCATATATCACACCCTAAATAAAGGCCATGGAAGCATAAACCATTCAAGTCATGAACTCATGATCTTGAAAAAACACACTACATTATGATTAACAAAACGTAAAGATAAGCTACATAAAGAAACTGATATATAATAACATATTATAGGACAAAATCAATCATTTCCCCTTTACTATGCCCCTTTACACAGTCTGGATGGTCCTACCCACCACTCGAGATTACTCTGCATTCCATTTCAATGACTTTCTGGCCTTCCAAGTTGGCATGGCCAAAGAACTCTCATCTATATTGTACAACTGTCTCACACCTCAATAGCTTCTAAATCACTTAGTTCTCTGAATTGTACTCACTCGAGTATCACTCGAATGAGAAACTCAGCTGAGCTAATGCCCAGCGTTTTTTTTGCCTCATGATAACTCTCAGGATCACTGACACCCACTTCAAGCTGCAGTATATGCCAAATGGATGAAAGATGGGAGGAAAAAGTAGTAAAGGTTTGAGGCCTTCTTTTCATAGGCCCACTTCCAGCATCAAAATCAACCGACAAAGCTGAAAATGTTGCCTTTTAATTATCTAGCATGAATCTAGACAATAAATGTTCTTGCAGAATTCGTAGCCAAGGCATGCACAAGAGGGTGCAGTACTCTTGGTGCTCACGGTTTACAGAGTCACTGCAGTTCCTTCTAGTTCAACGTCTGCTGTGGTGGAATGGAACAGTCACTTATTGCAAACATGGGATGTTCCACAATCAGCAAGGTGAGAAGTGCTGTCACGGATACAACTTTGCTATAAAAATCCCATGCTCTTAATTGTTCCTATGACTCCCATAATTACTGTACAGTTATTACTCCATAGCCAAGTCACAGGCATGAAGTTCTTGTGCTTTGATAGCTGAGCTTGCACCTTGTCAGAGTTCATCTGCAGATATATTTAAAGGAAAAGTACAAAAATCTTCAAAGAGGGGACCTCCTCCTTGTTTTTCTTAAAGAACCAACTTCTTAAAATGTTTGACTCTTCCGCTCCACCCTCACCCCCCCTCAATAATTCTGTCCAGGTTATATTATGGCTAACAAAGTAAGCAAAAAGGTTTCCACTTACCCAGCATGTTTAATGTCCCAATAGTATTAGTCTTTAATGTTTTTATAGGATTATACATGTAATTTGGAGGAGAAGCAGGAGATGCTAGGTGATAGATCTGGTCCACTACAGAAAAACAGAGTGGGAGGGAAAGAAAGCATTATTATTTTCCCATGCAACATATTAAATGACAAAACATTAAGGTCAAGAAACAAGTGCTTCTTTCTGCATTTCTTAATATTGGAACTCAGCACTTCCTATATTGCTACCTACAGATAATATGTATATATGCAAACCTGTTGTAACCCAAAACAAGACTTAATTTTTAGTAAAACAAAAACTAGAGCATAGTACATATATCTCAATACTACTGACACATACAGAAGTCTGAGTGTTGACATTTTTCACTTGTAAAAATTTTAGTCACGAGTACTTCACAGATGTTTAGAAGCTGCAAGAGCATATGCAACATTCTATTACCCTCAAGTTTTTAAGTATCTACCAGCTTCAGAACATTTTTTCTCAAATGGAATCCCAAGCAAAGATGACAGAAATATTTTTAAATAACAAGAGGAACCTTTTTGAGAAAAAATATATATTGTACTTTAATTTGCAAGCCACTTATCAATGAAATATTAATGGGATTAGTATCATATTTATATTTTAAATACAAACGCCAAGATACGGGCATGAAACTTCTGTCCTTTTTCCCTCATCTACAGTCTTTGCTCCACTGGTTTTCTGTGCTGCACTTTGGATAAAACAGCATGTGAGCTTTATGAAAAACAAACAAACAAAGCCTCCTCAATATAGAGATTTCAGCCTCCTTCTTCCCCCCACCCCCGTTATGAAATACAATTAACCAACACATTAGACCGTACCTTACAATCAGTTAATGTGATGTCTAACCTAATTTAAAATAAGGTAGCTTGCGTACTGGCAACAGATTGCCTAGGTAGTGCAAGTCTCAATCTTAACTAATTACATTGGCTGCATTTCTGTGATTACAGTGTAAACAAACCCAAATATTCAAATCACCAATAGCAAATACATATTCTGCACAGCAGCAAAATGGTACAAAAACCTGAAACAGTTACACCACTGTCATGAACATAGACTAGGGCCTGTGCGAATCTCCTGAAGTTCAACAAGGCCAAGTGCAAGGTCCTGCAGCTGGGTCACGGCAGTTCTGAAGATTGAATTCCAGGCTGGGCGATGAGCGGCTTGAGAGCAGTCCTGCAAAGAAGGACTTGGGGGTACTGGTGGAGGAAAAACTGAATATGACCCAGCAATATACACTTGTAGCCCAGAAGCCCAACTGTACCCTGCGCTGCATCAAAAGTAGCGTGGCCAGCAGGGCGAGGGAGGGGATTCTGCCCCTCTGCTCCACTCTGGTGAGGCCCCACCTGGAGTTCTGCGTCTAGCTCTGGAGCCCTCAGCACAGGAAAGACATGGCCCCGCTGGAGTAGGCCCAGAGGAGGCCACAAAAGTGATCCGAGGGCTGGAGCACCTCTCCTCTGAGGAAAGGCTGAGAGAGTTGGGGCTGTTCAGCCTGGAGAAGAGAAGGCTCTGGAGAGGTCTTTTAGCAGCCTTTCACTCTTGAAGGGAGCCTAGAAGAAAGATGGGGAAGGACTCTTGACCAGGGAGTGCAGTGATAGGATGAGGGTAACACTTTTAAACTGAAAGAGGGTAGATTCAGATTAGATATAAGGAAGAAATTCTTTCCTTTGAGGGTGGTGAGGCACAGGAACAGGTTGCCCAGAGAGCTGTGGCTGCCCCCTCCCTGGCAGTGTTCAAGGCCAGGCTGGAGGGGGCTTTGAGCAACCTGGTCTAGTGGAAGGGGTCCCTGGCCATGGCAGGGGTGTTGGAACTAGATGATCTGTAAGGTACCTTCCAACCCAATCCATTCTATGATTCTTAATTTAACAATTACTCCTAGCACAAGAGAACAGAGAGAGAAAAGATAATAGAGGCTGTAAGAGATTTTAAGTTCAAAGGCGAAATGCATCATCAATCAGGATTTTCTTCTCTCTTCCAACCTTTTCTACTTTGGTATATTTTTATCTTAAGATACATTAATTGTGCTTTGCTATCTATTCATGCAGTAGTCAGGCTTATTTGTTTACCTTCAGCTATTGCCCTATTTTCATAAAACAGTCTATTTCCAGAACAAGTATGGCAGTCATCTCTATCAAGGTTGTTCAGAAGACACATATAGGTATCATAAATGGTATTTGATACAAGGCAAACAAGCACACAGAACTTTAAAGCTCAACTTTGGTTTTGTAACAGGCCATCAACAAAGTTGCTATCTCTGTACTTCAGAACTTCAAAGAGCTCAGCTCACCCCATAAAATTTTAAGAACTGAAAAAGCATCATTAAATTGTGCAGTACACCAGAATCAGTCTTAAATATGAAACCTAAAAGAATCCCAAGATATTAGTTGATTAACATTGGTAATCACAAAAATCTTAGGCAAATCCTAATTCGAGACCAGCTTCAGCATACCAGCGTTCCAAAACGCATTGCATGAGATAAGAATGCAAAGGTTGGAGGAACTACAGGGAAAAAAGACTTTTTTGTTACATTATAATAAAAACAAAACAATAAGAACTGGACTCATTTTCACAAGTAGTATCTGATAGTTAACAAACCTCAACCTGCAGGCCTTTCGTAACACAACTATTGTAAATATAAAAATGTCTTTCTGTCTCTATGTAACATAAATCACAGTCAGCAAGAACTACTTAAAAAAAAGAACATGGATAAGCAAATGCAAAAAAAAAATTAAGGTCAAATGAGAGATAGCGATGCTTAAGAAAGAAAACGAACAAATCCCCTACCAAGGTCATCCAAGAAAAACAGTCAAAAGGTGCTGTAAGAATTAGAATGGTAGGATAGAAGAAGGGAAAGTAATTCCTTCTTTGTGTTACAAAATGAAAGTTTGTTTTTTTCAAGAAGGCTCAGCACTGAAGACTGAAAGAACCTGGAAAAGCCAGGGCTAGCTGCTATTCTGACAGGAGACAATGTTGCATGCCAGAAGTCTGTCTTGCCCTAGAACAGAACGCTATTGGTCAAATGGCACACTCAAACACCATGCTTCTTTTAACCATTTTCTCAGGTGGTTAATAATTAACAAGCAGTAGCAAATGATATAAAATAAAGCTGTATTTTGACAATATATTGATTACCATTAGCCCTCTGTTAGGTTTAACTTTTACAGTATCTGTGACACTGAACTTCTTTTCCAGTTTTAAAACCAGGGTAAAAGTATCTTTTCCTTTCCAATTAAAAAAAAAAATAAAAAAAATGCAAGGTTGCCCAAATTTACCTCTTTCTCCATTTAAATGTAACTACACTTGCTTAAACAGCACAGGCTGTATATGAGACACAAGTAGTAGGGAAAAAAAATATCAGATATGAACTTATCACCTGCTCTAAACTAGCTGACACTGAAATGCTAGAGGGCTGTGTTTCCTGTTAAGACTTCCCTTCTTCCCCGATTCCCAAATTTCATTTGAAAAAGCAAGCACACAATCCTTTGCTTCCTGACCTCTCTCTAATATAAAAAAGCAGAGTGGTTAGCGTGACTGTGTATGTAAGTGGCTTAATTTAACCATGTGGAATGTACCTATTTTCAACAATCCTTTAAGCAAAACAAGATTGTGAAATAGTTAAAAGCCTTCAAAACCTAAGGATCTCCTTCATATTAAAAAATTACATTATTTTTAAGATAAGTATGTGTTCTGATAATAAAACTTTAAAAATAGCGGCAAAGTTGGCAAGGTAAAATATTTAACCTCCTTTCTTTCTGAAGCCTTAGTGACATGTGCTTACATGTATCACCATGTTTCCAGACTAACTGTAACTTTTCAGTCTGAGGCAAGCTCACAGTTTCTGTGAGTGCATACTCGCTCATCCGTAGGAGGCATGAAAAGCTTACCCCATGCTGCATCTTCGCATTATTGCCCAACACAACAAATCTTACAAAATAGTTTATAATTAAGTTTTATTCACTGCTGAAGCTTACAATGTCAATAGTGCGGAGACATAATTTCAAGTCCAATCTCATCACACAGAGCAATTAACGATCAGTACACAGGATCAGCTTCTAAGGCAATCTGCATGACTCCATCATCACCAAGTTTCACCTTCCTGGCAGAGTAATGATATTTGAGTTAGCATGCTCAAGCAGATGCCACAAAATGTATCTACTCCTTATACGTTGCCATACTCTCTTTGGTCTACAGCTGTTAATCTCTAGAGCGGAGCTGACCATCTGCCTACAAGATGTCAAAAGAGATACACAATTTTGGCAGCTGCATCACATTGGTAAGGACTTATTCTACATAAAAAAGTGCCAAGAAACATGATTTAATTTAGCAGGCTGCTCTGCTATTTGCTCTCGCATCAACGGAAATTGGTATTTCCATTCACTATCAACTCCAGTGCAGCATCAAATGAGAGCTCTCCACAGAAAGCAACTTAGAGACGTAAAGTCAGCCTGACACAGCAAGTGCTGGAGGAAGCAAGCTCTCAGCTCGGGCTCGATTCAAAGCCCTACCTGCATTGCTGATGCAACTGAAACTTTTAGGATTCTGTCTGCAACATGAAAACAGTTAATTGTTCTGTGTGATGAAGTATGATGTCGAATAATTCCTCCTTATTTTGGTCGCTGTTGACATTGTAAGCTTCAGCAGTGAATAAAATTTAATCAAATTATTTTGCAGGATTTCTTGTGTTGGGGCAATAACACAAAGAAGTAGCATGGGGTAAAGTTTAATTGGTCTGCTGAACTTTGATATGCCTCCTACAGATGAGCCATGAATATGAACGGAATATTTGACTGCCTCAAGTTATGCCTCTGTGCATAAGCATCCCCTTCTCACAACACGGTACTGTCATGAAACCAAAGAAAAGGGGTAGACTAGAAGCTGATGAAAGAAATGTACAGAGAAGTCGCTGTTCACTGCTTCCAGGCACCAGGTAATTCAAGCACAGCAGCTCAGACACACGAACAAAACAAAGAGCTAAAGCAGCCTGTAGTCAATACAGAGTTGAACTCTGACCTGAGTTTTATGCTGTTTCTCTCCACCTATTCCTTTAATACTCCTTCTACATCCAG